TAATTCTGAAATAGAATATTTACCATTTATAACAATTAACTGTAGATCATTAATTAAAGAAAACAAGAGCTTAGTCATCAAGCATTTCAAATTAAAGATGCATTGACTGTTTGTGGTACTTTCAGGTCTAACTGGGAGATGAGGTTAGCGCATGGCTCTTTATGTGTAAGCAGGGCTTCCCATGTAAACTGATATTTAGCAGTAAAAGCCTGTCAAAATTTACTGGCACGTATTACGCTCCAAAAGCCTGAAAGCTGATCCTTATGTTCCTAGTCATCAGCGTTGTAATTCTCCATAGCATTCTTGGTCAGATTCATATTAAAAAACAGGATACAGCACCAGAAATGGGGCTCTTCAGTTTATTTCTTGGGGGAGCGGGAGCTTCTCATTTTGACCAATAAATTCTAACAAACAGGGAGTTGCAGTTATAGCCAGAGTGTATTACAGCTTAAAGCACTAATTAGCCTGGTCTCATCTCTAAATAATGAACCGGCCTGCCTACCAGTCCTTTAGAAACCTCACACGATCCTATAACAGTATCTATCTATTGAAAGCTGAATCCCCATGAAGAGGACTTTTGTTTCCCAATTCGCCCCATCCCTTGGGAAATGTACGTTTGATAGTATCACTTCTTAAGACCGTTTTTCTTGCCAGAAAAAGAAAACACCGATTTTTTTTTAAAGCTGTATCTATTATAGAGATTTCATTCTCCATTTGGGAATTACAAGCAGTAATACAATAATAATAGTTGTTGGTTACCACACGATAATTTCAAACTATTCTAGGCGGCTGCCTTCTGCTTTCTGTGCAGTCTCATAGCATTAGACTCCAACATAAAATGAAATTACTCTAAATTGTCTGTCAAATTTCACTGTTTAAAAAAAAAATTACTTAGCTGTTACATTATGTAATAGCAAGTGGGGTAATTTAATTACAAAGTCACTTCTGAAAGATAAGACTTTAGGTTGCAGCCTTCAAGTAATTAACAATCTAACTACCATTAAAAAAACCAAACAAACAAAAAAGCCACATAATCCTGAGGTAATGGGCACCGCTGAAAGCCACTGCGCCAATGGCACACACAAAAAAGGGGCACAGTCAGAGGCTGCAGAGGTCATTGCGGCTTATTGACCAAAAGCTGTTCTTTTTTTTGTTTGCTTCTCTCATAAGAACAGTGGTGAGAACAGTGGTGAACATCTCCCCAGATGTTTCCAGAGTGCAATCCCTTCCCATCCCCAGCAGTGTGTGTGTGTGTGTGTGTGTGTGTCAGTGGCTCCAAGCACATCACAGACCTTGTGGCCAGGAAAGAAGGGAACCAGCTCAATTGAGGATACAAATGGTGATGATGCAAAGCATTAGCTAGCGGTCCTGACGTGTTAAGAGCTGTATTCATTGTTCAACTTTCTGTCCTTGATTTTATTTTAAACACAGTGTAAAAGAGCTTCACGAGACAATCCAGTTAAGTGCATTTAAATACTCAAGCAGTTTTCAGAAGTGGTTATTCTGTTGTCGTCCATTCTTGATTATGGGGGGGACTGATCTGGGACCAGGACGTTTTGGTGCTTCAGCACAGCGCAGGACTGTCAGCACTCTTCCTCAGCTAAATGAAGAGTCAATCAGCACCAGCTGAACAACTACGACTGAAAAAACAGGAGCAACACCATATTCCCCAATACAGCTAATTGTCATGGACTGAGCAGGTTAGGTGTTTGGAACCAGTGGGTTGAGAGTAACCACTGAGCTAATCCTTACTGTCAAATTCAAGAACAAAACAATCCAGCTACCTGCCAACTGTATTGTTTAAAGCCCTGTTTGCTAGTGCACCAAGAGAATTTCAAATATGCACAGCAGCACAAGACCGCCTTGGTTTTAAAATGCAGTGGATTTTTCAATCCCTACAGCTGGCTTTTCCCCATTATTCACTGTTAGCACGTCTCTGATGTACACATGCCCTTAATAAAAAGTCATTTAACAGTGGGCCAACACAGTCCATGGCCTGACAGCTGTGGTGGGGTACAAGGGTCATGCAGGCTTGTGTTGCCCCAGAGACAGGGTGCAGAGTGGCCTCCGCATGTGCCTGATGCTGCTCAGACACGAGGGGCCAGGGAGCCAGGTCTGCAGGCTCCCTCACAGGCCCATCTCAAGGAGAAGGGACATGCTGGTGTTCCTTGATCCGGGCTGGAAGGTGACCAGCAAGCACAAGGGATGATTTTTGTCAGTTTTCTTCAGAACTAAAGTTTGACGGGATTTCCTTGATGTTCTTTTCAGAAGTTGAGAACTTGACCAGGACTGCCTGTAGGCTACTAGGCATCTGACAATAAAGCAGAGTTGTAAGTAGAACTCTTTGCTACGAACACTCCTCTTTGCCAATTCCAGGCCCTACCATTTAGGCAATGAGCGTTTAAAAAAAAAAAAAAATTATTTGTACTGAAATTTTGATTATTTGCCCTATTTGGTCAGGCTTAAGGGACTTCTCTTTTGTTCTCCAAGGCTATTTTGTAATGCAAGTTGACATTCATGAATAGGGTGCTTCAGACCCACAAGTTTCCTGTTTAAAAGTGAAAAACCAACGTGCTTCAGTGCTGGCACACTTACAACTTCACGCTACAGTTTCTGCTCTTCCATCCCTCCAGCCCCAGATCCACTGTAGCTTATCTGTCCTGCTCATCGTGTCTGTCTTGGCCTGCTTCTGGTATCCTGTGAGGACACCTCTTATTCCTCCCCCTGTCATCCTCCCCACCTCTGCTTTTCTGCTATGATGTGAGGTGTGATATCTTTAGGACAGTAGTTACCTCGGAGTGTTTCAAAATACTGGTGCTTTTAAAGCTGTGCAGGGTAGCCAAAGGGTAGATTATATACATAAAACTATGATAACTGCAAGATTCCAGCAACTGGAGTGTGACGTTCATTGCCAAATGTCATGCGGTTTGCAATAATAGCCCAAAGCTGGCAAGACCAAGATTAGCACCAGGTTGCTCTCTCTGATACATGTGTAATTCACAAAATGGATCCGGGCTTTCTTTGACAGCTACTTGCCAAATAGAGCGACTGAATCACTTTTTTGCCTACATGTTGTTTAAAAGCCATTCTCTTGCTATTTAGTATTCAGATTGTGTGGTTCACCATCTTAGCCAAAAAGGGTTTTTTAATCGTGCCTCACTGGAGAGAGGAACCTTTTAAACAAGAGAACGATTAACGA